ATACTGTACATTATTGTTTCTCCTCTATGCCCCGCCTTTTTGAAACGTGTCGATTTTTACAAAGCTTATCGGTCTGAAAAGCGAGGTGTGCTCTGATTGGCCAGGTATAGAGTGCGTTGTGATTGGCCGAATACCTCAAGCGTGTGACAGAAATGTTGCGCCTCTTACCATACTGTGATGCCGTGTCCCGGCGCGACGAAACAAAAACAATAAAACACGTTATAAACGAGGCATTTGTTGCATCCAGTGGGGACATAATTACTGATTATAATGACTTATACTGTCCTCCATAAAATGCGTTGCACACATCTGAATATTTGGTTTGAACTGTTCTGGAACAGTGTTGTAAATCAAACTTGACCACTGATTTCTAGTCGTGTCCTCTTTTGGAAGACCAACGAAGTAGTTTCGCTTTCATAACAAAACACAGCGTCTCCACGACATGGTGGCAGCGGCAGCAATACTACAGCGAGAATCAGTTGCGCCTTCTTTCTTTGCGTGAACATTTGGGCGGTGTTATACAAATCGTCCCACACAGTGACGTAGATGTGGGGGCGTGTTTAAATGAGGTGTTTAAGGGGGGCGTGAACGAGTCTTAACTTTTATAAAGAATATCTCTTTGGGTTTGAGACTTTAGTCTTTGCAACTTTAGGGATCTTGTCTATTCACGAACAGCTTGTAACACTCCAAAGAGAAAGGAAAACTTGAAATCGCATCATATGACCCCTTTAAGTCATGAACTGCTGTCCTGAAATTCTCCTGCAAAATGTCTTGATGTACTTTTGAATTAATTGTTCCTTTGATGATTGCAAAGTGTCCAGGCCCTGAGGCAGCAAAACCATGATGGTCCTTCCACCATTCTTCATAGTTGGGAAGAAGTTTTAGTGTTAGTTTACAGTGCCCCCTTTGTTGTCTTTTTGCTAAAAGGTTCAACTTTTCTCAATTGTTCATAGACTATTTTCCTTTGGTTCGTTCTCACTAGAGCCCGACCGATATGGTTTTTTTGGGGCCGATACCGATGCCGATATTAGGGAGTAAAAAAAAGGCCGATACCGATATATCGGCCGATATTCTTTGTGCATATTATAGTACAGTACCAGTCAAAAGTTTGGACACTTTCCCATTCGTGTGTCCAAAAATTTGACTGGTACTATATATAGAATACAGTATATACATAAACAGAATATATACATAAACATATTTTTTGCAATGATCTCTCAAATGTTGTGATCAAACACTTATAATGGTGACAGAGATATGTATTTGAGATTGAAACGTAAAGTCTGAATTTGGTTTACCAATCAAATGCATTTATTCTATATATGACTTTTGAACGATATGCGAATGTTTCTGTCAGGTGATTGCTGCCCAGTATGTCTGCATTCACCTCTATTCACTTTGTTCTGGAGTAATCTGGAAATGGTCGCGCAAAGAACAACATTCAATAAGTAAAAATGTCAGCAATTCTAAAAGAGAGAGGGGCTCACAAAACGAAAAACTTCAAATATAAACAACATAAAAAACATGACAGCTATCAGTGTCAAAATGCCCGTCTTTGCGAGTATATGGCCGTTCAAAGTTTCAATGGTTTTCCATAGACTTAAGCTTTAAAGCGTTTCATCCAGGTCGCCAGTAGCAAACAACGGAGCGTGCTCTGCTGGACAAATTAAGTAATTACGCCATTTCAAGCATTTTATCTGCATTATATGTTCTGTAAAAAAAATGTTCATATCGGCGGCATATTCGCCGATACCGATATATCGGCGACAGGCTCATATCGGCTGGTAATATCGGCAAAACGATATATCGGTCGAGCTCTAGTTCTCACCTCTTTCAGGATTGTCCGACGTGTTCTAACGGTGATCTTTGCTGGATTCTTGGTATAGCAACAGTCCAGACATTTTCTAACTTTCCCTGTCAATGATCACTGAATGTCGTAAATAACATTTTGAAACATATTACTGCCACAATGTATGTGTAATCATCACAGAAATTTAGATATTCTTTACACTGTATTTAGTTTAAAATATGTCATTGTAAAAAAAAAAAAAAATACAAATTACATTTTATCTCAACATTTTGAATCAATCACCAAGAACTGACTCTTGGCACATAAGCATATCATGGCACACAGGTTTGAGTCTTGACTGACTTGTTGTATGACTGTATCCCGTTGTCCTATCTATCTTCAGTTCCCTGTATGTCCTGTCACCCTTCAATGGTCTGACTGGTAAAAGGCCAACAATTACAAAAAACAAAAGCATGGCATCAAACCAAATTCACTGCAGAATTTGCTTCACTGTAAAATATTGCCAGAATATTTTATCAGTAATGTTATTAATAATATTTACTGTAAAATAAGTACTGTGCAATAAAAATGCACTGTAATACTGCCTTGTGGCATAAATGAGAATACTTCAAAGCCTTTGATTTAATTACATACACACTCGGCAGGTGGATTAATGGTTGTCTTATGTAGAAAATTGAAAATTGGACAGCTGGGTCTGTTGTTTGCTACATCTGCAAAAGGAGCTTGTAATTAGGTCACAACAAATTCACAATTTAGTAGTTTATCAAAGTTCCTTCAACACTAAAATAAGAACCTGTAGCACCATCCCTGTGACAGATTTAGAGCAGGCTTGTGTTGTTTTGCTAACAGTTACAATGGCAGATTACTTCAGCAATGATGCTGTTTAAACCTGCAGTTTCTCCACACACCCATTGTCTGTGCTCCCTTGTGTACATATGCTATTGGACTATGACTTACTTGTGTTTTCTTGTTGATGTCCTTATCTCCCCAACGTCCTTGTCTCCTGCATTTCCTCATCTCTGTCATCATCAATAATCACAAGTAGTTCTTGTGTTCTCCTCATGTCCAGTGTATCCCTGCAAGACTCACCCGTCATTGTTTTATTCACTGCTGCATCAGTACTGTTTGACAGAAACCTGGCTAAAACCTGATGATTACATTATTTTAAATGAGTCTACCCCCCAAGATTACTGTTATAAACATGAGCCAAGTCCAAAAGGTGTTGCTTCAATTTATAACAATGTTTTCAGTATTTCTCAGAGGGCGGGCTTCAAGTATAACTCGTTTGAAGTAATGGTGCTTCATATAACATTATCCAGAGAAAGAGTGAGTGTGTGTGTGTGTGTGTGTGTTTGAGAGTGTGTGTGTGTGTGTGAGACTATTTTTATATTTAATACTGTAAAGTTGCTTGACACAATCTGTATTGTTAAAAGCGCTATATAAATAAAGGTGACTTGACTTGACTTGACTACTGACGTGTTGTCAATGCTTCACTCACCATCTCTGTACAAAAGTCTCTGCTGTTGAGTTAATCTCCTGTCTAATCTACTGACACCAGGTTAGCTGTCAACATGAACTTACATTCACAACTCATATTAATTCTATACTGTGACAATTTTCTCTGAAACAGAAAATTCAACAAGGATATAATCTAGAAGACTTCACTTCCAAATCTGTAGCCTACATTTAAGAGTAATTTCCTTTTCTTTCTTCCTTTTTTTTTTTTACTTACCCATCAGATATTTGCTTAACTATTACTAAGATGTTTTGGGTGTTTCCTGGAGGTTTGCTAGGATTTTGTTTTATTTGCGATATTTGCTTTTTTGCGATAGACGCTATTTACACAAAGTGAAAATGGCATATTTTCTTAGCAATAGATGCTACACTAAGTTCAAATAGCAATGGATTCTATTTACATTAAGTGAAAATAGCAGTATTTTCTTATAGAGATATATATTATTATGCAGTAATAATGTAGCTATTGAGTGCAAATACATTTTTATTAAAATTATTAAATGGATGCTGCCTTACTGGGACAATAAATCCCTCCCTGCACTTACTTAATTTGCAACTTTTCGGTTATTTCCTTAATGTTTTATTGAAAACAACTGCCTTTCCAATGTGATGAGATGTGAAAATGACAAGAATGAATTCGGCAAAAGGCGTATTCGAACTCGGGTCGATTGCGTCAAAACGCCTGTGCAATGCATTTTACCACTTTGCTGCATCCGCCTTCTAGTGTTAACTAGCCAAACCATAGACATAATAAATAGCCTACCTAACATAACATAATAAATAACATAATAAGAAGCCTGTTTGTTATGTCTATGAGCCAAACCACACGTTGGTGGAGTTAGTGTATAGGCACTCTGTTTTTTATTTAATTATTATTTTTATTTATTTATTTATTTGGTTTCTTGTTGCCCA